TTATGGGAGTGTATGTCTTTACCTTTTTAAGCCAACTTCAAATATTTTCCAAAGTGTTTGTGCCAATCTGAACACTCCAGCAAGGCAGAGTTCCTGATGCTCTTTGCTTTGCCAGCATTTGATGTTTGTTAGACTTAAAAAATTTTGAAACTTGCTAGATGTGTGGTGGCCTCTCACTCAGGCTGATTCGTGTCTCCCTGATTACTAGTTAGGTTTATGCACCACATTTCCCCTTTCCTAAATTGCATCTCAAATCACTGACCGTTTTTCTACTGTGTTGCCTGTTTTGTATTGATTTGTAGACATTTATAAATATCTCTATGGAATATTTGATGGTTATTGGCTACAAGTGCTTTAGATATGTGCTTTCATTCACTAGTTGGACACTTCATTCTTTTGATGATGTGTTTCAATGAAGTGATGTGCTGAATTTTTATATAGTCAAATTTATCAGTACTTTGTTCATGCTATGGTCATGGAGATCGTTTCCTCAATTGCCTTCTAAAAGCTTTATTGATTTGTCTTTAAGATTTAGAATTGCCTTTTGTGCCTGGAATTGATTTTAAAGTATGGTTGAGGAGGGCGGTCCCATTTTCTTTTTCTTATAAAGATGCAATTCCCCCCTAGTATTATTTGTAATATCATCTTTCCAGTGCTCTGCTCTGCACCTAGGTTACCTAAGAAGTGTCTGTGGCTGCTTCACTAAGCTTCTTTCTGTTACAGAATTGCAGCTGGGATGGTACCCATGACTCTACCATGAGTCATGTCCCCAGCCTCCGAAAACATTTGTTATAGGGACCATTACCAGCAACAGCTCAGTGATAGAGTTTGGCTATGCTGGGAGCCACCCTGGCTACAACCCTGATGTTTTGGGGTACCCTATAATGGCTAGTGGTCAGACTCGGAGCCTCACTCATGCTAGTCATATAATCCACCCCTTTGAGCCATATTACTAGCCAGTGAAAACATTTGGATCTTTATGGACTATTTTGTTACTGTTTCATAAGTAAAGAATACAAGAACTTGTATTTTTCAGATGCTTGGTTTCTTTTTCTATGACATATTTTTTTTCCTATTTTTTACTTTTGTTTGGTAATCTTAAATTGTAGAGGTGTCTCTCTGTAAACATCATTTATCTGAACTCTAAAAATTCTGCCCTGATAATCTTTATTTTTGGATTGTTCAGTTAGTTTATACTTATATAATTACTAAAATGTTTGTGTTCAAATATGCAACATAACTGTCCTTTCTCCTTGCTTCTTTTGTTCTATATTTCTGGTTCATCCCCTCTCTTATCTTGCTTTTTGAATGATTAATCATTTTAAAACATATTCCCCCTAATTTTTAAAAAATACATATACTGTTCCTTTTCTGTTCAAGGCAATCCTACTAATTAAGCCATGCACTCTTATCTTACCTCAAACTAATAAATATAAAATAATTTGCTTTCCTATGGATAAAGATTAAGCTTTAGAACCCTTATTCTACTTTCATCCTCCCAACTTACATGTTATTTATTGTCTAGTATCTATCCAGCAGTTTCATTGTTTTCAATAGGAGGGATGATTGCAATAACCTTGCCTGTCTCTACTGCAAATCTTGAAACTGCATTTTAAAAATACTTTCAGCCAGTGTTCTGCTCCAGGCTGAGGATCTGTCTTATTAATTTTATATCCTCAGCACTTAGGAAAGACACTTCAACTTTGTCTTAAGGCAAATGCTTTAGCACACTAAAGCTCTGTCTATATCTTTCCATCTGTGTGGGCTGAATGTTCCTGAATGTTATTGGCCATATATGTCTGTGCAGTTTAACAATTGCAAAGTTGGGCTATTGTTTATGGTGGAGGCCTATTTTCAAGCATCTGCTGCTTCCAGATATTCATTCAGTCTACACCACTGTTCTGTCTCTTGCTTCCCTTAGCAGTAAGATATCCTCTCATACTTGAGACCAGAAATTCTGAGGGTGAGGTGGAGAAGGTAACTCTTATTCTTCAACTGTCCTGAGACTCTCAGATTTGTGCCACACCAAGTTTAACTTCGTGCTAGAATTTTGAAACTTGGGTTAATTTTGAAACTAGGTCTTAGTAAAATTTTCAAAGGATACTTTTTAATCTCAGATAAATTTCTGAAAACTCAGTGTTTTATGTATTCATATATTATATCACTTTTCCAATGGTCCCAGTGATAATCTGGACATATGTATTTATTTTAATATATTTGAATACACAATAAAGTACTTTTGTATGTAAGGAAATGTGGGGTGTAAACAAATAGCAGTACTCCTACATTATTAAAAAAAAGAAAATGTGGAGTTTGTTAGTCATTTAGTTCTGCAATAGCAAAGTCCCACAACCTAGCTGGTACTTGGAAGTTACTTTGAGATCCCTTAAAACAGATATTTACATCCTCACAGCTCTGAACTCAATATCAGCAGGGCTGGGCTTTCCCTTATGAATCTAGAGGAGAATTCTACCTTGTCTTCTAGTTTCTGATGGTTTAGAGCAATTCTTGGCATTTTTTGGCTTGTATTTGAATTACTCTACTTTATGCCTCTCTCTGCCTTCACACAGCTGTCACACATGTGTGAGAACATGTAGATCTTCACATAGAGTTCTCTCAGGTGTCTATGATCAGCTTTTCCTTGCAACCAAGGACCTCAGTCACTGGGTTTAGAGCTCATCTTAACAGTACCACGTCTTCATTAAATTTGCCAGTAAGATTCACAGATGCCATGGAATTGGACTTTAACATTTATTTTGGAGGGGCAAAAACCCAATTCCCAATATGGGGCAAAAAGGGTAAGATTATCTTTGATAATATCATCTACTTAATGGAATTAGTCTGGTAGTTGAGTACATTAATATCTCTTGCATAACACTGTGAAAGCAAACTAGACTCCAAACTCTGTGTCTACTCTGTTTTTCTATAAAACAAACAGGCTGGCATCCTCTCAGCAATTTCTCTAACTGCAAGGGACTTAGATGTTCAAGGAGTGACACCATCAATATCTGTGCTTTCAATTCCCTAAAACTAGGATGAAAAGAATCTCGCTGACCTCATCTTTTAGATACGAACCAGGCTTTTAGAAAGCATCTACTTTGTACTGGGATAACCAGTGTCCTTAGCTAACCTGTCGTCGTCTTATTAACCTACACTGTTGGTGCTGGTAAGCCCCAACAAGCATCTTCAAACCCTCCTTGGCTTTTGACAAATCCACAGTGACCTTAAAAGGAGAGGAAGGCCCCAGAAACTCTGCATCATGAGGCTTATCAGGGAGAACTACTGTAGACTTTGTAATTGTCTGTGTGAAAAATCTTATGAAGTGATTAAATAGGTCTCAACAAATTGACCTGAATTCCTACATTGTGGCTGGGACCATCCAGAAAGTTTTTGAAGAATATGGTTTTCTTTAAGATTAGGCCAGGGATGTAGCTCAACAGTGGAGCCCTTGCTTTGCATATATAAAACCCTGGTACCACAAAATTTAAAAATACATAAGTAAGTAAAACTTGACCTAAGTTTTTTGTCTACTATGTTGTCACACAAATACCTTGCTATCTCTCCTTAGGTCTGAATATTTGGTTTGAATAACCACCACTAACAAGTCATTTTGCTGCATAAATCAATGAAATCTTGGGAGTTTACCCCTCCCCCCCACCCCGACCCTGTTATCACTGAGAAGAGTTGTGCTGATCACAAATGCTTGATAACAATTATAAGGAAAATGAAAGAAAATAGTGACCATAACTTTTATCTTTCAGGTCATCTTTCTCAAAATGCTTTTTTTCTTTTGGTGAGATGAATTATAGAGTCTTGACCCAAAGTAAAAACCTCCTAGAAGTTTGACCAGGAAATATGAATGGGGAATGGGAAGAATCCAAAATCACCATCTTAGCAGCAATGCAGAAAGATGGTTGCTACTGCCAGAGAAAAATGTTTTTCTTGTCTAGACTGGAAAGAGGCCCATTGAGTTCTACAAGCAGCTATATAAGGGCCATAGCCCTATAATATCCATGTCCATAACTCTCCTCCTCTCCTATCCCAACATCAAACACAGGAAACCAAGGTTGAGAGGGGAAAGCACTTGACCCATGTCATCTAGGAAAATGGTGGAGGATATAGGTTAAGAGCAAACTCCTGGAAAAGAGCTTCTTCCTGCCTCACCCAGCTCCAGATTACAAAATAGCAGGATCCCTGAAAGGGAAGGAGAAGGAAGCATGATCCCTTAATGCCACATAGGTTAAAAATAGGCTGCTTTAAAATAGGACATTTCTCTTAATATACTTTTAAAAATATTAGTTTTATTAGAGGTCTCTAAGGCCTTTCATAACAGAGGCCACAGGTACAACCCTAGGCTGGAGTACTTGTGCCTGGCATCTCTCAACATGCAGTCATGCAAATCCTAAGTAGGGATGCCAGTCTCCATGTGGTGCTTCACAAAGGGTTCCCGCCCATCTTTTTTGTTTGTTTGTTTGTTTTGAGGTCTCACCTGGAAGTGCTTAGGACTTACTCCTGGCTTTGTGCTCAGGAATCAACTCCTGGAAGTACTCAGGGGACCATATGCATGGTACCGGGATTGAACCTGGCACCTGCACGCAAGGCAAGTGCCTTACCTGCAGTGCTAACTTTCCTGTCCATCCTAAGAGACATCTATGTCATAGCTCTTTGGAAGTTCTAGTACTGAGAAGCTTGTCTGGATAAAGGTCAGTTCTAGTCACAATCAACATAGAAGGACCAGGGGACGTTTTCTGGAAGGAAGGGAACCCATCATCTAATACTAAAATTCAAAAAGGGAAGTCACAGTGGTGCTGATCTCTGCATCTTATGCCTGTGAGTGTTTGGGGGCCTCTTCCAGGTGGCCACTGATGTTGGCGCCTGCCCTATTCCGACCTTGAGACCATTGGCATGCACTGGTGAGTTGGTGGCTGAGTGCCACCTGGAGTGGGAAGAAATTATCAGGGAGCATAATGTCATATCAGAATCTGTGCAGCTAGTCTTCACTACAGCCCAGGGCCAGTTGCTGTCTTACTCATAGCTTCATCTTCATTTTGCATTGAGCTGGATGTGCTCATGTTGGCTTGGTCACTAAGGCCTCTAGTGACACTGTCGTAGGATGGTGGGAAAGATGTGGCAGAGGCAGTTGCAGATTTGTCTGGGAGCATACAATGTTCATTTGCCATAAAAGCACCGGGAAAGTCTTCACCTGGGGGTGACCCAGTCTGCTCTTCAGCTCTGGGTACCCTCTGGGGATTGGAGAATGTGATGGAACGATGTAGGACATAGCTCCGATAGGCCTTTTGAATGACAGTGGCTGAAATATCTTCTTGTTTCCACCGGAGGGTGGTTGCTATAGGTTCATAGGATGCTTTGGAAAGATTAGTTGCCATAAATTTCTCCTCCATATTTGCCTTCAGTGTATCCAACTCTCCAGATTCTCCCAGAACATTTTTGGTGAAAGCAAAAAGGATGTCCAAACAGTGGATCTTATCTCCAGGGACCAAGGGCAGGTCCATCTGAATCAATACACTCTGATTAGGCTTTGGGATTCGTAGGGGGCCTGAGAGGGTGTCTGCAAAGTCTGAGAGGGCTGAAAAGGAAATGAACTGGGTGGCCTCTGGGTCGAACTTCTCCCAGGTCTCATAGAACATATCGAAATCATCCTCGCTCAGAGGTTCTGTGCTCTCCTCTGTGGCCACATTGAAGTTCTCCAGGATCACTGCGATGTACATGTTGACGACGATGAGGAAGGAGATGATGATGTATGTGGTGAAGAAGATGATGCCTACAGCTGGGTTACCGCAGTCCCCTACAGAGTTGTTGGTGTTGTTCACAGCAGGGTCACAGTAGGGGGGGCCCGTGTTGAGGATGGGGCTCAGGAGGCCATCCCAACCTGCTGAGGTGGTGATCTGGAAGAGGCACAGCATGCTGTTGGCGAAGGTCTTGAAATTGAACATGTCGTCAATGCCAGCCTCGTACTTTACATTGGGGAAGCTGGCCATACCGAAGATGGAGTAGATGAACATGACAAGGAAGAGCAGCAGCCCGATGTTGAAGAGGGCAGGCAGGGACATCATGAGGGCGAAGAGCAGTGTGCGGATGCCCTTGGCTGCTCGGATCAGCCTGAGGATGCGGCCGATGCGGGCCAGGCGGATGACGCGGAAGAGGGTGGGGGAGAAGTAATTTTCAAGTGACTTAAGAATCACAGAAAATACCAGGCCTTAAAAGAGAGGGAAATGATCTAATTAGTACATGCACCCACAGTCCCTGGCAAAGTGTGATCACACCCCCTCCTCTCTGCTCTATAGAAACTTCTGGGTGAGTGTCTGTGTTTAAGGATGCCAGTCCTCTAAGCCTGGCAGTGGAGGGCACAAAATAGGAGCTCAGTAAGTGTCCCTGGCACAAATCCTTTCTCTTTCAAGCAGTTCTCATCCTTGTTCCTGCTTTCCATCTAGCCCTCTACCTGGAATATCTTTTTGGTAGACCTCCGTGGTCTAGGATCTGTCATGTGCATCTTTTGCAGCTGGGTGGAATCACCTCATCCCCCATACATGCACAGTCCTTGTCTGTTTTGGTGCTTGGCACAGACCCTGCTCTTTGCTGAGAACTCAGCCTTTGGATTATGCCTTTTCTTCTACTCAGGCCCTTTGCTCTGTGAAGGCCAGTATCCCACTATGATTCATGTCCCTATCTCCTGCTGTGAAGATTGACTCAGTTCCTGGCACATGGTCCTGTGGATAATTGCACAGGGGCTGGTATTAATTATAAGGGGGGCTGAGAAGTTGGGCAACTCGCTGACAGCTAAAGCAGAATGGCTTTGAATGGCCAGCTGTCTGCATAAAGGCTTTGAGTTGTTTCTTTAACTTCCAGCTGTGCTTGAACTCTATGTTAGGGCCTGAAGATGGGTTTGTTTAGGGTCAGTTACAGCCCCAATGATGAACAAGATTGGAGAGGTGAAATGTGTATGTATCTTCCTATGTGCTCTGTAACTTGAGGATTTTTGCCACCCTTAGTCCAGGGATCAGCAGAGGCTATTGGGACTGCCAAAGATTAGGCAAGAGAGATTGCACAGCCAATCAAGACAAATGGTGAGGGGTGTGGTAGCCAGCTCCCTCTCTTTGCTAGGATTCTATTAGCCTTCTTCTCCCACTAGCCATATATTGAATGAATACAGGGGGTCTGGGTATCGTGTTGGGGGGAGGAAGAGAACGGGAGGAGACTTGGAAGAGAGTTACACTTGATCACAAAATCTTTATGACTCTCTTAAAGTCCAGTTTAGCAAGACATTATTTTTTCCCATAGTGTGGGATAAAGTCTGTGTTTATGGAATCAACAAAGATTCTGACAACCTACAAGTTTGCATTTACTAAAGGAAGAATGAACATTTGTACTTGAAAGTTGAACTTTGTACTTGAGTAGTTGCTCAATACATGTCTTGCTAGTGGGAAGGGTACAGGGAGAGTGTGAAGGGAAGAGTGATGGACAGATGAATTCTTTCACCTGCTCTCTGCTGTCTCTATGAGTGATTTCTGCCTTGTGGTTACTCTTGCTATGTAGGTCACAGAAACACATAGCTGAAGTGTCTCCATCATGGGATGAAGTACTTCCAGATTACTTTATTTCTGCAGAACCAAGCAAGTCATGTAAGTAAGATACCCTATCTAAGATAAAAATAGCATTTAGTTGGGTATAGAGGGGACTTTCCTCAACATAGTTAAAGCCATCTACCACAAGACTACAGCAAGCATTATCCTCAATGGGGAAAAACTGAGAGCCTTCCCTCTAAGATCAGGGACGAGACAAGGATGCCCACTGTCTCCACTGCTGTTCAATATAGTACTGGAAGTACTTGCAATAGTGATTAGGCAAGAAAAAGATATTAAGGGCATTCATGTAGGAAAGGAAGAAATCAAGCTCTCACTATTTGCAGATGATATGATACTATACTTAGAGAACCCAATAACCTCCACCAAAAAACTCTTAGAAACAATAGACTTGTATAGTAAAGTTGCAGGCTATAAAGTCAATACCCAAAAGTCCATGGCTTTCCTATACGCAAACAGTGAGAGAGAGAAAAGCTACATGAAAAAAACAATCCCGTTCACAACTGTGCCCCAGAAAATCAAGTACCTAGGAATCAGCTTAACCAAGGAAGTAAAGGACCTGTACAAAGAAAACTACAAAACGCTGCTTCAGGAAATAAAAGAGGACATAAGGAAATGGAAAGATATCCCCTGCTCATGGGTCGGGAGACTTAACATTGTCAAAATGGCAATACTAACTGAAAGCATTGTATAAATTCAATGCAATTCCTATAAGGATACCCATGACATTTTTCAAAGAAATGGAGCAAACACTCATGAAATTTATATGGAACAATAAGCCCCCGCGAATAGCTAAAGCAATTCTTGGGAAAAAGAAAATGGGAGAAATCAACTTCCCTAACTTCAAACTCTACTACAAAGCAGTAATAATTAAAACAGCATGGTACTGGAACAAAGGCAGAACTGCAGACCAATGGAACAGGGTTGAATACACTGACATCTCCCCTCAATCATATGATCATCTAATCTTTGATAAAGGTGCAAGAAATGTGAAGTGGAGTAAGGAAAGCCTCTTTAACAAATTGTGCTGGCATCACTGGACAGCTACATGCAAAAAAATTGGGCTCAGAACTCTGCCTAACACCATGTACAAAAGTAAGATCAAAATGGATTAAAGACCTCAACAGCAGACCAGACACCATAAGGTACATTGAAGACAAAGTTGGCAAAACCTCCATGACATTGAGGCTAATGGTATTTTCAAAGATGCCACGCCAATGGCCGAGCAAGTGAAAACAGAATAGATAAATGGGACTATCTTAAACTAAGAAGCTTCTGCACCTCCAAAGAAACAGTGACCAAAATACAAAGACAGTCTACAGAATGGGAAAGGATATTCACTGAATACACATCTGACAAGGGGTTGATATCAAGGATATACAAAGTACTGGTTGAACTCCACAAGAAGAAAACATACAACCCATCAAAAAATGGGGCAATGAAATGAACAGAAACTTTCTCAAAGAAGAAATCCGAATGGCAAAAAAGCACATGAGAAAATGCTCTACATCATTAATCATCAGGGAGATGCAGATCAAAACCACAATGAGATACCAGCTCACACCTTAGAGACTGGCCCACATTCAAAAGAACAAAAGCAACTGATGCTGGCGTGGATGTGGCAAGAAAGGGACACTCTTTCACTGTTGGTGGGAATGCCGACTAGTTCAACCCTTTTGGAAAACAGTATGGACGTTTCTCAAAAAATTAGAAATTGAGCTCCCATTTGACCCAGCAATACCACTCCTGGGAATATATCCCAGAGAGGCAAAAATGTGTAGTCGAAGTGACATCTACACTTGTTTGTTCATTGCAGCACTCTTTACAATAGCCAGAAATTGGAAGAAACCTGAGTGCCCAAGAACAGATGACTGGTTAAAGAAACTTTGGTACGTCTACACAATGGAGTACTATGTAACTCTTAGAAAAGATGAAGTCATGAAATTTACATACAAGTGGTACAATATGGAAAGTATCATGCTAAGCGAAATGAGTCAGAAAGAGAGGGATAGACATAGAAAGATTGCATTCATCTGGGGGATATAAAGTAACAAATTATGAGATTAATACCCAAGAATAGCTGAGATCAACACCAGGAGGATTACTCCATAGCTTAGAGGCCAGCCGGGTATTCTAGGGGAAAGGGCAGTTCAGATAGAGAAGGGAGCACCAAATAAAGGCTGTTTGGAGGATCCTCCCAGGAGGGGAGATGCATGTTGAAAGTAGACTATGGACTGAACATGTTTTCCACTCAATGCCTCTTTTGCAGACCACAACACCCAAAAGGAGAGAGAGAACAAAAGGGAATGCCCTGCCACAGAGGCAGGGTGAAGGGGGGGTGGGGGGGATATTATCCATGGTGGTGGAAAATGGGCACTGGTGGAGGGATGGGTATTTGATCATTGTATGACCGAAACCCAAGCACAAAGATTTGTAAATCTCCAACTCTACCTCATGGTGCTTCACTAATAAAAAAAAAAAAGATGAATTCTAAAGTAAAAAAAAAGCATTTAGCTTTTCACTTGGAAGGCGGACAAACAAAACAAACTCCCCACTAAACAAACAAGCAAATAGCCATGAATAGCGATAGCACAGCGGGTAGGGCATTCGCCTTACAAGCGGCGAACATGGCCGACCCGAGTTTGATTCCTCCATCCCTCTTGGAGAGCCCGGCAAGCTACCGAGAGTATTCGATATGCCAGACACAGTAACAACAAAGTCTCCAATGGAGACGTTACTGGGCCCGCTCGAGCAAATCGACGATCAACGGGAGGGCCTTTACTTTACTTTACTTTACTTTACTTTACTTTACTTTATGTAAATAAAACAAAAATTAAAACAACAAATAAACACAAGCCAAGGCTGTGTTTCAGCTGTAGGGCAGGGAGATGGATTGCTTCCAAGCTTATTTAGATGCTATTAATTCTTTGATGGTAAATCAATAGAAAATGAAGTCTATAGCTATGTCCTGATATGAAAAGTAAGCAGGTTAAGCTAGGATATATTTATAATGCAGAGTAAGATTGGTGTACTGGAATTTGGCCTTTATAGGGCCAAACTTTGGCAAAATCACAGGAAGGCTGAAAGTAGTCCTTGGAGTCAACCAGTTGACTGAGAGAACATTAGCCTGGACTGAATGCAGCTGTACTCTTTTTAAACTATATGAGCTCCTCTACCCTCCTTAATCTCTGAGGCTCAATTTTGAATCTATAAGATGAAGATTTTCCTCCTTATACGACTGCTGAAAAGATACCTGGAGGCCAGCCCATTGCTTAGAACTCAGCAAGTACTCCTTCATGGCAGTCTTTTTCCTCACTTAGGCTTCTGGCTCACCAGTTTCCTCTGAGTGTCACTGGCTCCCAAATCCTGGGCATAGCATTCAGCCACATCCCAGATGAGGATGTTGCCACAATAGCATTAATCCCTTGGGGGAATCCCTTGGCTTCTCTAACGCATATCATCTCTAAGTGGCCAGTTAATAGAAATATAATTCTAGCCTCTTGATTGAAAATTTTCTTTTGAATAATCTCTTCCTCATCTTTTCTCACAGTTCTGGCAATCACCCTCTTTTCCAGGAAGTGTTGTATGATTCACCCCCTTGTCACATGTGTGCAAGACCATGCAAGGCAAATGCCCTTACCACTGCACTGCTCCAGCACTTCATATAGTTCCCGAAGCCACCCAGGATTGATCCCTGAGCACACAGCCAGGAATAAGCCTGAGCATTGCCAGGCCATAAAGAGTAGGCCTCTGGGAAACTCACCCTCTTGGGTTCTCTGGAAGAGTTATGGTTCCTGGCAATGTGTTGTTCACCCAGTAGCCAGCCCAGTAAAGACCCAAATAGAACCTCTCCATCTCTCAGTGAGGGAAGCAACAAATACTGGGCATTCCTCTAACAGGAAACTGTTTTGAAAGTTTTCTGGCTGTTCCCACACGTTTGAAAGGGTGGGTAGACCCCCCCACCACCCCCAGAACTGAGCTGCTTTGTTCTCTCCCTCAGATTCCATATCACATAGGACCATCACCACCCATGATGCCCACTTACTCCCAATGGACAGGACCACAACAATAAAGTCAAACACATTCCAGCCATTGGTGAAGTAGTACTGCCTCAAGGCGAACATCTTCATGACACACTCCCCGGTGAACACAGCCACAAAGAACTGGTTGATTTTGTTAAGAACTTTTGTCTTTTCTTCACTCTGCTCATCAGTCTCCACCATCATGGTGATCATGTTGAGGCAGATGAGAACCATGATGGTGATGTCAAAAGCTTGTCTGGTTACGATGTCAAAGACGAAGCCCTGGTACTTGTTCTGAGAAAGCAAGAGAAGATAGCAGTAAGGCCTCTAAGATGACACACACCAAGATACTGGAGGGGCTGGTTCCTTAGAGATGGACATTAGAAGTCTGTCTCTGTTGTCTTCCTCAGACACTACATCAAGCAGAAGTGAAATTCTGGCCATACTACTTCTGAAAGCTGACTCTTAGAAGAGTTCCTCTTATTGCTCAATTAAAGTACTCCTCAACTCTTTGGCCTTCTGAAGTCCCTGGACACTTTGTCTGGTCCCACCCATCCTCCCATCTGCCATAGAAGCTCCCTAACTTGGCTTATCTTGAATAACCTGTAATCTTGAATGACTCTCTCCTTCTAAGCCTTAGTTTATCCAGAAATTCTCCTTAATAAAGGTCTCAAGTGATAGTGCTGTAGGAAGGGCATTGGCCTTGCATGCAGCCAACTTGGGTTCAAACTCCAGCACTTTATATGGTCCCCATAGCTACCCAGGATGGATCCCTGAGCACACAATCAGGAATAAGCCTGAGCATTGCCAGGTGTGAACTCTTTAAACCCTTACACCCCTATACACACACAAAAAGAAAATTTTTATTAATCATAGTTTAGAATCCCTTTTAGGTTCTTGTAGCTTTATAATGAGCTCTAATATTTCATGTAATTTCTTTATTTGGGGGAGACTACCGGAGTGCTTGGGAGCCCTGGAGGTGCTACTCATTCCAGCAGTGCCAGGCCAAATGGTTAGGTTTACAGACTTGCAATGTGGTGATGCTCAGGCCCCCTGGCAATGCTAGGGAAGTCACACAGTGGCAGAGATTGAACTGGGGTCTCATGCATGCAAGGCATAGGTTCCAACATTTGGACCCCATTCCCTGACCCTCCATGTATGTTTTTTTTCTTCATTCTAGACAATGAGTCCTTTGAGGATGGAGCCATGTTTGTTTAACTTTGTATTCTTATCAAAGTCATTAACTTTGTATGACTGTCATCCCATTGTTCATCGATTTCTTCGAGCAGGCACCAGTAATGTCTCCATTCATCCTAGCCCTGAGATTTTAGCAAGTGCCACATTGGAGACTCTTTCAAGATCAGGGGAATGAGACCCATCATTGTTACTGGGTTTTGGAATATTGAATACGCCATAGGGAGCTTGCTAGACTCTGTTGTGTGGGAAGGATACTCTTGGTAGCCTGCCGGGTTCTCCAAGAGCAAGAACTAGACAATGCATTCTTATAGTGTTCTGAATATTCCAAATATTCCAGAAATGCTAGTCAAGTTAGTGATTAGAAGAAAAAATTAGAGGTAACGCTATAATTCATTCCTTTAAATGGTCTCTTTATTCCTGGGTTTGTGCAAATGCAGGTCAGGGCATGGGATTAGGTTTTAGTTGTTTGCATTTTTAGAGATAAGCAGGGTGTCCTGGATATCCATGAGATAATTTTGATCAGGCTATTTATATAGTGTTTTTAATAAGCTTCTAGTATAATTCTATAGCCTTTCCCATGCTACTAACATCTTACTTCTCTTTGAGTCCTTGACTAGCCTCATTCTTTTTTTTTAATTGAATCACCGTGAGATACAGGCACCAAGTTTTCATGATTGAGTTTCAGTCATACAATGATTGAACACCCATCCCTCCACCAGTGCACATTTTCCACCACCAATGTCCCCAGTATTATCCTCCACATTCCAACCCTCCCACTTCCTCTATGGCAGACAATTTCCCCATACTTTCTCTCTACTTTGGGGCACTGTGGTTTTCAGTACAGATACGAAGAGGCTATCATGTTTGGTCCTTTATCTACTTTCAGCACACATCTCCCATCTGGAACTATCTCTCCAACCATTATTTACTTAGTGATCCCTTCTCTATTCTAGCTGCCTTCTCCCCCAGCTCATGAGGCAGCCGACAACCATGGAACAATATTCCTGACCCTGTCTCTACTGTCCTTGGGTGTCAGTCTCATATTATGTTATTTTATATTTCACAAATGAGTGCTGTCATTCTGTGTCTGTCCCTCTCTTTATGACTCATTTCACTTAGAATGATACTCTCCATGATCATCTACATATAAGCAAATTTCATGACTTCATCTTTCCTAACTGTTGCATAGTATTCCATTGTGTAGTTGTACCAAAGTTTCTTTAACCAGTCATCTGTTCTCAGGCACTTGGGTTGTTTCCAGATTCTGGCTACTTTGAACAATGCTGCAATTAACATACAGGTGCATATGTCATTTCTATGGTTCTTTTTTTGCATCCTCAGGATATATTCCTAGAAGCAGTATTATAGGGTCATGTGGAAACTCAATTTCTAGTTTTTTAATGAATGCCCATATTGATCACTTGATCACTTGACATCCCATTACACATCGATTTGCTCAAGTGGGTGCCAGTAATGTCTCCATTCGTCCTTGTCACATGCTAGTGTAGTTCAATGGTATCTGCTCATTCTAGGAACACGAAGAGCCTCAAACCGATCATTCAGGGTCTTGACGAAGAAGTCTGACCATCTCATAGGTGGGTGGCCACGGGATCTTTTGACGTCCTGTGGAATCCAGTCGATAATGGCTCTAGTCTAGTGGTCATCTCCAAATCCCATTACGTGTCCAGCCCATCTGATTTTCGATGCCTTCGCAAACGAGACAGCATCCCTGATTCTTGACTGTCGACAGAGGTTAGAACTCTGAATTCTTCCTCTCATTTGAGTGAAGTGTGATACTCCAAACATAGCTCTTTTGAATCCTCTTTGGAGACCCGAATAGCGTTCTCATCCTGTTTTTGTAGGGCCCAGGTCTCTGAGGCGCATGTTAATGCAGGAAGAACAGTGGAATCGAAGAAATGTGCTCGGAGCTGGAGGTTCTTCGTCCTCTTAGTTATTTCTTCGATGCTCTTGAAGGCATTTCAAGACACTCGCTTCCTCCTGTGCAACACAGGTGCCAGGTCATTCGTCATGTTGACTTCTTGACCTAGGTACACATAACTGTTGCATTTGGATATTTTCATTCCGTTGAGAGCGAATGGAACTTCAGGAATGAGAGTGTTTCTCATAAACATTGTCTTCGTGAGATCCAGCTGTAGTCTGACCTTTCCACACTCATGGTCAAAGTTGGCCAGCATTTGTGACGTTTGGTGTTATTAGAATGATGTCATCAGCAAAGCGGAGGTGGTGTAGTTTCCGACCACCTATCTTCACTCCCATTCCTTCCCATTTCAGTCATCACATGATGTTTTTGAGAGTGGCACTGAAGAGTTCCGGTGAAATGGTATAAACCTGCTGAATCCCTCTCTTTACATGGATGATCACTTCTTTGTAGAATGGTGAGATCCTGGTAGTGAATCCGTAATACAGCTCATGGAGGATCCTGATTTATTGAACTTGAATGCCCTGTTTGGCTAGGGCTTTGATGACTGCTTCTGTCTCAACAGAATCAAAGGCCTTCTTTAAATCAATGAACGTTAGACAGAGTGGCATCTTGAACTCCCGAGAAACCTCAATGAGCTTGGTTATCGTGTGGGTATGGTCTATCGTGCTGATTCCTTTGCAGAACCAGGCTTGCTCGCATGGTTGTCCTTCACCTAGTGTTCTGTCAATCCTATTCAGGATGACTTGAGTGAACATCTTGTAGATGACAGATAATAGGCAGATCAGGTGATAGTTGACAATGTTGTGGATGTCTCCCTTCTTGTACAGTAGTACAGTCCTGCTGGTTTTCCACTGGGACAGAACCTTGCATTCAGATAGGTAGCATGCGAAGAGCTGAGCCAGTGTATTGATGAATACCATTCTTCAGGTGTTCGGGTCTGACCTTGTCTGGGCCTGGTGCTGTTAGCTTCTTTACCAACAAAATGGTGTGTCATGCTGGCAGATGCGGCAGAAGCCAGGAAAAGCATTCTCAATGCCTGCTTGTCCTTCGCCAGCTACAAGACCAAGATGACTGCCCTCTGACGTCCTGATGGATCTATCACATCTTCCAGATGGGCAATGGAGAAGATTATCCATGACTTCTACTTGGATCTCTTCAATAGCTATGTCTACCTGCCCACATACCAAATTCCACAGGATGGATATGTTGTTCCCAACTTTCTCCCTTCCAAAATGCCCATATTATTTTCCAAAAAGGACTCTAGTCTCATTCTCTACTCCCCACCTTCTCTAGAATCCTTCTCTTAAGACCCACCTTGATTTCATCTTCGCCTCTTCAAAAGCTGCTTACTGCTTATTACCCCATGTTCCCAGAGCTGAGGGCAGTCTGAGGCCTTTCTCCATCACCACTGTCACTTCAGCCCTTTCTTCCTCTTATAAAGTGAATCTTATGAAACCTATCCTTTTTAAAGCTGTGTCACCTAACTAGTTCAACCTCTACCTCCTCTTCTTTGCTGCCACTTACAATACTCCTGGTCCCTTTGCTTCATTACTGATGAGTGAGACTCTTGGTCACACTTGGCAACTTTTGGCTATTATCTCTTAGACCATTAGCTAAATCTCCAGTGACCTAGTTTTCCTTGCCCTAAAGAAAAATCTTCTTGAACTGCACAATTCCCCCCACTACCACCTTACTTCTCTCACTATTTTCATTTAAATTTCTTGGAAGAGTTGTATATAATCACTATTTCCTGTTCACTCCTCCACCCACTCCAACATGGCGTTTGTATGTATCCTGCCATGTTTTTTTGTTGAGATTACTAATAACCTCCATACTGTTCAATCCAGTGACGCACACATTTGGCATCGCTTGCTACCTGAAAACCTTCCTTTCTTGGTTTCAATCCTGCCTTGCTTTTCAGGTTCTTTTCTTGCCTTTCTGGATACTAACTTTTTCTTTGTCACCAAACTTTAGATGTTAGAATTCCTCTAGGCTCAATTCAAGGCACGCTTTGCTTTTAACCCCATTCCTTTTTCCTTTACCATATACTCCAGCATATACTCCAGCATATTCATATGTCTGTGAATGAATGCAAGAGTCTTGAGAAATGATTTCCTGGGTTACTGACTGAAATCCCCATCAGGGCAGAAACTTT